CGAGGGCACCGGGCGCTTCCCGAAAAGAAAACTCGTGTTGTGATGTCTGGGCTCCGAGCCGTCCTCGGAAGGAGGCGGTGACTCTTCTTCAGGCTTTAGCATCGGCCAGGCATAAGAAAACATGGCCTTGGCTCTTTAAGTCATGTACAGCAAACGTTTAGGGAGGTTATTTCCTTAAGATTCTTGTCTATTACGCAGTCAATCCAGTTGCAGGCACACTTACGTGGTTATACACCAGAGGCATGTCACTGGGTTGAACTGGCGTAAGAGCTGTGTTACTGAGCGTAGCACCTGCTATAGCCAGTTTCCTGTATCCCTCTTCTTGGGTATGGTGGGTACTGGTTTGGCAGGTAACCATAAGGCACGTGTGCTTCTTTTGAGGTGACTTACAAGATAAAACAACAAACGTTTATCCTAAATATAAAACTCCCTTAAACATAAGAAAAGTATTGAACATTAAAAAGAAAACCTCTTTTATTGTAAGAGTAATCAAACACTGGAACAGACTCTCCAGAGCAGTTGTGGAGACTCCGTCTCTGGAGATATTCAAAACCTCTCTGGACGTGTTCCTGGGTGACATGCTGTAGCTGTCCCTGCTTTGAGCCGATTGAGGTTGGACTGTGCAATATCCAGAGTGCCAGCCTCAGCCCTGCAGTGAACCTGCAAGAATACTACTGTAGCCATGCCAGGCCTTGGTGTTAATGAACTTCTTGCAGTAGACCTGAAACTTTGGTACAGACATATACAAAACACAGAGATGTGCCCCCATGTACTTAGTGTTTTTGTTGTTCCTGTGAAAGCACTTCTGATACTTTGTAGCTGGCTTCAGTAACTTGCTGATCTAGCTGAAAACTAACTAGAGGAGAAAAAAAAAAATATGTATTTTTGTCCAGGTCTGTGAATAGTAGGGTGAGCAAGTAAGATGCAACAGAGATGTGCAACTGAGAGCAGGGCGATTCTTATTAACAACACTAACACTCTAATATTGTGTAAAAGTTCTAAAGAGACAAAGCAGTAGTGGTCTAATCTTGTCACCAAGTTTTTGGGTATATAATTGAAGCTGTTTCTTAGCTGAACTAGTGAAGATTTATCTTAAGTAGGTATTGCAGATTCCTGAACAATTGGTAGAAATTTACGTGTATTGAATGGTTGTGTAGGCAGGACTGGCAGGTCTCCTTATAAGTGCTTTCAGGAATTTTCCCTTTTATCATCATCGTACTGACTTTTTTTTTTATGTTTAAACTCACTTGATTGAAGTCTGAAAATCATAAATGCTCTTCCTTTCAGAACCTCTCCTTATCTGCTCTTGTGCCACGTGTTTTGTACCTTAAGATACAGTGGTCTGAACATGGCTGCTCCTTACGTATATCCACTGTCTGTTGAATGTCCTGAAAGCACATTTTATGGCTGACAATGGAAGTATTAAGTTCAGTGTAGAGATTAGTTTGATTTTTCTGTTGATCCTGTCCAACTTTAAATTTATTAACTGTCCTTTAAATTTATTAACTGTTAGGACAAGCAGCCATGGCTGGTCATGACTCAGGATCTCAACACCAGTTCACTGGATTTCAGAAGTACTTCAATTCCTATACCATCACAGGCAGGAGGAATGTATGTATTATTTGTATTAACTTTTGTATGTAATGTATTTGTATTAACTTTTGTATGTAATGGTGTTTTCTGAAACTAAACATAGTTTTTATGTTTTTCAGTATGTAATAGCAACGTACACAGGTGTTGCAATGCTCATCTTGTATTTCAAGCTCAGACCTAAAAAGAAAACTCCTGCCGTGGCAGATAAGTAAATGGTAAGTGGCTGGGGTTCTTCCAGGACCAAAAGGGTTCAGTGCTAGCTTTTTGTGACAAAGGACAAGTTGCTAATAATGCAATATCCTTAGAGAAACACAGGCCTGTGAACGTCATGTGTATAATTTTAAACATCAACTAAACTATATTATCAGCTTATCTGGGGGCATTCTGAATGAAGTAAGTTGTTAAAGGGGGATACAGAAAGTATCGGGTACCAGTATTCCTTTTGTTCTGACATGGTAAATTGGACTAGGGATGGCACACAGGGAGGAAGAGTAAGAAAGGAAGGAGGAATGGAAGGATGTATATATACTAGGTATATCAGGCTTTGCCTTCAACTGTCAGGTGCCTCTGGTATGCCCTTTTGCTGTAAAATAGGGATAACTGTTGCTTTGTAGGGTATTGAAATAATAAAGTAGTACTTGAGGACTTAGCTGTATTAGAGAATGCCAAGTAGAGATTAATGCACTCTGTTAGAACCTTCTTCTGAACGTGGTAAAGGAGCACCATGCAATGGAACTGTATATGTTGCACACCTGATTATGCAAGGCCCATATAGAAATGATCGGACTTGTTCTTGTATAGCAACAACCAAACGTTACAAAGTTCTAGAGTCATTTTCAAATACAAAATTTCCACTGAAATGGCATTTTGAAAAAAACTATGGCCTGTCCTTATAGTCTGCAAAAGGGGTAGAAAACAATAAGCTTGAGCATCGTTGTTGTATTCGAAGGGGACATCAGTCATTTCCTCCTCTAGGTGTGCTGAAATTTGCCTGCTCCTAACTAAAATTGTTTAGGCCTGGGCAAGGGGCATGCTCAGATACTAGTTCCACTGTGCAAGACTTGCTATGTTTGATCTCTCCTCTCTTGGCAGGTTGCTGGCATGTCTGAACCTCCAGTCTGTGTTAATGTAATGCAAGCTGATCACCTGCTGTGGCTAATAAAATATAAATAATTACTTGTTTTACTGGAAGTATGAAACGGTGCAAAAAGCATAAATGTGGCATTTTGCTTTTTTTTCCTCTGTCAAAAGTAGTTACTTGTAGTGGAGATGAGTAGCTGATTCCTGCCATTACTATCTTAACTAAACTCTTCTGCTGATATTACACATCCTCAAGTGTTCTGAGCACCTGGTAGTAACCTAGGAAAGACCTCAGCAGCAGGATGATAATACTGGCACAGAGCTTACAGCTGATCAAAGCATCTCCACACTTCCATGTCATAGTGGATAACAGTAAGCTTACGTGGTTTGCAGTTACCTGGATGCTCCCACTTTTTGCATTCCAAGCTAGTAGCTCACATGGAAACCATGACTTCTTCACTATTATTAATACAGTGCAGATTACAACTTTTGCCTTGGTTGTCTGTATTTTGCATAGACCCTGTTTGGTTTTGATGAAAAACCTCCCAAAATAGACGGACAGAATTACGGCATTTGAGCTTTTTCTGTTACTGGCCCCTCTTGCAGAGGTGACTGCCAGAAAGAAAATGGCTTACTTTGTTGACGTTAAGCTCTTATAACTCTGCATGTTCATAAACAGTGACTTAAGTAGTTCAGTGCTTCTTTTTCCTGGACATAACCTCTTAATAAATGAGGTGTTCCTACCACAAGTAAGACATACGAAGCCCCTTCCCAACACTAGAACTTGTCTGTTACGTCCTCCACAGTGGCTTCCTGTGTCTATTTCAATTAAAATTCAGTACCTTCCTTAGATGTCACATTAGTGCTGATGTGTGAATGTGATTATTTGGAAGGGTGCCAGCAGCAGGGGTTGAACCTGGGACTTCTGATGCTAAAGCATGCAAACATACTTCCCAAACAGCAGGAAGTAGGCATGGTTGCCAGAAAAAAAGGAGGGATAAATTACAGGGTCTTTGTGCTCTCTCACTCTAGTTCATGTATCTTAGAGCCATTTGTACATGCTCGGCCTTCTGAATAAATCTAGCTGTCATCTTCTCCTATGAGTTTGTTTGCATAAGTGGCCTCTGCTGTATACAGCTTTCCAGATTAATAATGGTTGTTGCAACAGTTTAATAGATCTAATTAGCTAGAACCCATCACCTACCATTAGAATGAGATTTACGTGAAATGGCTAGTCATCAACTTAACCATTTCTGAATTAGTTTCCCTTAGCAGAGTGCTCAGTTACAAGCGCTGCTTTGGAAGAAAATACCTTCTCAAAGGCACAGACACAAACTATGTGGTTTTAGTATTTATTATAATATCAAAAGTATAAAACTGTACAAAATACAAAGGCAGAATGTGGCAGTCTTTTCTTTAAGCTGTCAAAACTGTACATGCTTTGTTTTAGGTAACTTGTTTGAGTCACCACAATTGTACTCTAAATCCAACTGGTCCTATTGAGAGCTAAGAAATTTTGTTGAGGTACCATTACACAAAAAAATCCATAATAATTTAGTTTTAACCTTTCTTTCCTTTAAAGAAAATTTCCAGGTGAGCTTCCTAATAAATGTTCCCCCCTTTATTTTGATGTATAATGCCTGTAATACACCTTTACTCCAAGAGTTAGAGTCAGAGAAGGGACAAGAGGGGAGGTAGTTTTCCATTTACTTTACCTTGGAAATGTCAAGTCTTGTTTTTGTTTTCACTAGAGAGCCAGCAGATTGTTCCAGTGTCCAAGCCCTTACTGGAAAGTAATGAGGAAAACAAAACAGATTTCCCTGTATACAGCTTGTAAAAGATTATTAAAAAAGCAAACAAAACCAAAAACACAAACCCAAAACCACTCCAAACTGGGCCTGTCCTTTGGCAGTGGCGTTTTCTGTTCAAAGACCCAGAAAGTTCTGCTTCCCAGTGTTTTACACGTTACTCTTCCTTAGAAATAAAGCACTGAGCTTTCTTGGTTGTCTGGGAGGACTTACTGGGGTACGATGTTTTGTGAGTGGACATGGTCACTTCGGCAGACAAGCTGGCCTTTCAAAAGCCAACTGATAGTACACTTAGGACTGATTAATCCTTTTACTGTGCAAAAAGAGTTCTATTTCTTAGGTAGTTTTACGTTTTGATATATTAAACCTTATGCAGAAAGGACACATTTTTAAAGTTCTTTTAGATCTAATACAACTTTAAAAGGCTGAAGTCCACCTTTTTAATAATGAGTATTTCAGTTGTGTCCCAGTCCCCCTCCTTTTTTTTCCTCATACAATAAAGTATGAAAGTAAATAGTTTACATTGTACTTCGGATTGCTTATCTACTTACAGCACTGGCTACTGTGAAAACAGAGTAACAAGATTGGCATTTCTGATATCTCAAAAGAGCACAAGAGTTTGAAATCTTTTCAGGATGTGGTACTTGGATGCCTAAAACCCACACGTGTAACTTCGCAGCAGTTCCCCACAAGCCTCTGCCTGTTGGACCTACTCTTTCAATGCCCTTTTTGTTGCTGTGATACTCTCACCATACCTGTTGCCCAGCTCAGGCTACAGTGAATTAATCTACATTTGTCTTTTCTGAAACTGAACAGTTTTCGCTTGTGTTTGAGATTGATTGAACGTTTACTAACCATAAATTAAGTGCTTTAAAAACATTTGAGAACACACACCAAGGCTGTTAAGCTTCCACAAGCTTCAGCACAGCTCAATACTATCTCTGAGAGGAGACAGCCATTTCATATACATATATATATTTTTTTATCAAAAGCACCATGAACAATTCCTTCTTTTACAGCCACGATGTCTTGTCAATCTCCAGCATTTTCAAACTGTATAAATATGAAATAGCAGAACTGAGAAGACTCTGCTTGCATTAGTTTACATAGTTTCCGTTTTTCTGCAACAGATTAGCAGAGTCCACCTGTACAAGACATTCCTCCTGGTCTCAGATCCTGAGGTCACTACTGTAATGACTTGGCACAGTCAGTCTTACAGCTTCCCAATTCACTGTGAACTGTAGGCTCCTGCAGCCAGCAGCAAGTTTCTGCGTGTGAAATGGAGGTGTACGACCGGGGTTGATTTGGTCATGTAGGTACCTAGTAACAAGTCCTGTGAGTTTTCGGGCAAGTTTATATGTCCAGTAGCTGTAGTAAAGTCATCGGTTTCTAAATCTTCAAATGCTTTCACAGCATCCCACAGACGAACTGTGTTATCCATTGAACCTGGAAAGAAAAGAGAATAACAGTTCAAGTATTTTATTAATAAAAAAGGTGTATTAAAAAGTTAGTGGAGAGCACGTTAACAGAAATTAAAGCTCAAAAAGCAGGTTTGCTCATAACTGTCGACTTAATGCCCTCCTCTTGCAAGGAAACAGACTTTAACAAGCCTCTAACATACTGAATGCACACATAAAAGCAACCAGGATTCCAGCTTTCCTGTAATCGAACCTGAACGCCCTGTGGACAAAGAACTGCTCTCTCAAAACACTTGGGTTTGGATTACATCACCCGGCACTGAAAAAGCAGGACCATCCTGTGGGCTAGAGGCCAATTTCAGGAAATGTTTATGATTCTAAGTCGCACAATAACGGTTTCTTTGTTTGATACAGGGCAGACAGCAGGATTTTGCAGGCGCAGTGTCCTGGGCTTTCACTGGAGCGTTGGTAGTAGAAGTAATGACCCTGCAGGCTGGATCAAACCTGTACCCTGCCTGTCAGCTGTAACTCCTGCAGTAGAGGCTCACTGAGGATTCTCACTGCACTGCATTAGGAATGTACTACCAAAGAAGTCTAGAATATTCCCAGCTGCGTTTCATGAGGAAATTGCCCTGATGTAATTACAGTGTCTGTCTATTGTTTCTGCTGTCAGTAACGAACTTGTTGGCTAATTTCAACCAGTTGACAGAACGGAAAAAGTTTCAAATTTATTAAATTCCTATACATTTTAGGAAAACAGTTCACTAATCATGGAGAGACGAAACTTTGTGCCTCCATGAAGGGAAAACTGGCAAAGAAGTTCTGCTATATTAGACACCAGAGAATCCATGTGGACAGGCAGGAAAAAACAAGCAGACTTCACAAGTTCTGCTGCTCATAGACCTGACTGATAATATTACACACACATTTCTATATCAAAAATCTATCATGAAGAAATAGTAAGGGTGTGGATAACTCATCTTCATTTCTATCTCTTCCTCTTTCTTCTTTTTAATCTTGATGCATGTCCCACTTCCACTCCAGTATCCTGGGCTTCTAATCCAGCCACCACTTCTCTGCCCTAGAGTTAGTTCTAACTTCAGATTCCACCCCCAGCACTGTACACAGATCCCAACCTTCACTATTGTCTAAGTGCATAACATCTTCCTTTCAGTTCCTGGACTAGTGAGGGGTCATACTTCACAGTCCAGTGAAGTACCCGCCTTGTATCAGCAGTTTGAACTTGGTGCTTTTGCTAAGCAAGTGATTCTACTTTGTCTTCCTCAATTTGAGGAAGCGATTCTACCATTCCTCTTCAAACTTATGGAACACAACAGCAACTTCACTGTTTCCAGTGTTTACCTGATGCTAAAATCTCCCCATCTCTACTGAATCTGAGCGCGTAGATAGTATCAGTATGCCCTTTCAATTCTCCAACCATCAAGCCATGTCCAATATCCCACAGCAGAACTCTTCCATCTGTTGCTCCAGTAGCCAGGAATCGTCCATTGGGAGAGAATGCCAATGAATGAATTGGTCCCTAAAACAGATATTTGAGGGGGACCAAACAAGTTAGTTAATTCTACTCACATTCAGTCAGTCAGTCAAGCCACACTCGTTCTGAACACTACTCCTCAGAGTCTCACCACAGAAATAAAATTACTTTCACACTGTGAGTGATATGCCTTTACCTTATGTCCAGTGAATATTCTTACACAATTCCCATTCAAAACATCCCAGAGCCGTACAGTCCTGTCTGCTGAGCCCGTGGCAACATAGTTAGAGTTTGGATGAAATCGAGTACACGTCACATCAGCAAGATGGCCAGCAAATATCCGTAAAGGCTGGTAGTGATCTGTTGCCCACAGACTGAAAAGAAAAGCTTTATTAATAACAAGAACCCTAATGAAGTTCAGTATCTGTTGTACAACGAGGAATAAAAGAAAGTAATTATGCAGTGGTTTCTTACTGGTCAGTTTACTGAATTAGCAGGATCTGTTTTGGTAAAGTATACTTTTCAGAAGGGAGAAATAAAGAATATTCTGTCAAGTTGTTAAACAACTGGAAGAAAATATTTATAATCAGATGGTCACATAAGAGGACACCATCTCTTTAGTTGTCAGATAACCTGATGTGTGTTGAAAAGAAAAAAAAAACTAGATTAAAACATTTGTTCTGTATTTTAATTGACATTAAATAAATCTTATTTCCAGTAATAGGGTAGGCTAAAGTATATCAGCTAATCACTTTCAGGGTTAAGTCACCACAAACTGACCCAGACAAGTAAAAAACCCATCCAGTTTCTTACCGAGCCACTCTGTCGTGTCCCCCTGACACAAAGTAATAACCATAAGGAGAGAATTGTGTATCCCATACTGGGTAGTTGTGTCCTTTGTATCCCACCAAACATGTGAATGTTTGGAGACTCCACAATCTGACAGTGCCATCCTCAGAACAGGACAACAGATAGTTCCTGCCACAGGAGAAAGCATAGCATGTTACATACCAAACGTACACACAGACTATGTAACCATTGCATAGACATCTCACGGTGCGTATGGTAGAAAAACTGTCCACTGAACGGCATCTGTTCAGCACGTCACATATAAATGAGCATTTTGGTGGGTTAAGCAACAATAACGAATTCAAGCAGAATCCATTCCGAGGCCCTTATGCAAGAGAGAGAGGCATTTGGATGTTAATGACTGATTCTGATGACACTGAACAGCAATACTGAGGGGAGAAAAAAAAAAGAAAAAAAAAAACAAACGAACCACAGAGCTGGTCTTTTTTCAGGAATTACAGTTATATGAAAAAATATGAAAATGACTAGCAAACTGCTACACTATGTTACTTTTTAAAAAAATCTTTTAATATAGTCTAAACAAAATTCCAGGATTCCCTGAAAGAGAATTCATATCTCGTTCACATTCTCAATTCATAATTGTAGACTCTATATTCATGTTCCACACAGTTTACTTCTCAGCTGTGTTTCTGGGATGGCTGTTTCCTGAGTAGACACACGCAAAAGCAAAACTTCAGACACTTAAACCTCCTTTCTACTGTCCAGACTCTCATAATCACATAATGGTTTTAAATCTCTTATTTTAAAGATACTATTCCATACATTTTGAAAATAAAGTCTCAATAGAATATGAGAAACTTGAAGTACAACGACATGGTACTCAGCCTGGTTTTATGTTTTGCAATACTGTAAATGCAATCAATCAATGCTGCAGTCTTTTTCCTCTCTACAATTCATCTAGTTAAAAGCCAGCTTAAATGACAGTTTGCAAAAAAAGATGGTCTATTTTGCCATCTAAGTCCTGAACCTCAAGAAAGCTGCTGGCATCCTCAGCTTCAGTTAATGTCAGTAATAGGTGACAGTCCCCAACACCCTGAGCATAATGAGCACTTACGCTCACACAGAGTTTCTTAGAAGCTGCATAAACAAGAATTGCTTTAACTTTCTGGAAAAAGCTGCATTAAGAACATGTTTGCATTCAGTAGCATACAATTAAAACTGAAGACGAGCAAACTAGTTAGCTTGTAAACTTATTTTACCTATCAGGACTGAAGCTGGTGCCATAGACAGGTCCACTGTGACCATATAAAATCTTCAACTCACTTGCTGTTTTCTCATCCATGATCCTCTCTAAGACATCATCTGATTCTTTGTCGATGAGGCTGAGGTCTGCAATATTTCAAAGTTCACGTATCATAATAACTGTTAGAAGTTCAAAGATAAATGCCATGACCAGGAAAACAAATCATATTCTGTCTGGAAGAGGCCAGTATGATATGAACATGACAGAGTACCTGGGAATTGGCAAGTTCAAAGTGTACAATGGCTTTTAAAATATTTTTTACCATCGTAAAAGGTGAAAAATAACACTTTACATAAATAATCACTCTTTCTTAAGTCTTCACTAAGAGCTAAAATAAATTGATCATGACGTGTGTTATTTTTCATACATATAACAAATACAATAACATCTTCTTGACAGACATGCCAAATTTTCATGCCTTTTTCCAGGAAGTTAATATGCCACGAAGACGCGTTTCAGACATGTTTTGACAGCTGCACACTACACGGAACTTAAAGTAACTTTTAGTCTGTAGGCTACTGTTTGCTGAACATCATGACCATATCTCAGTTAAATATCCAGATTAAGAAACGTTTGCATGGTATCTAGGTTCAACCGCAACACCTTGTTACACAAACAGCAGAATGAAAGAAGCCTGGTTCCCAAGAATTTGCATAGATATTGAGCTACAGGACATTTTCCTCCATCCTCCTCAAGAGTTCCCTCCTGTAATTTCCCCCAGAGTGCCTCTAGTCTCCCCTGGATCACCTAAACCAAACTGTCTACTACGCCCTGAAGTTACCATCCAGGTAAGAAGCAAGATGGCTAGTTCCATGATAGTTACGGCTCGTTCCAAGCTCCGTGCACCGACCACCTCACAGGAGGTGTACACAACTAGATTTCTCATTCCTTTAAAAATGTTTCTAATGGTAGTATATATACATCTCTGCATGTACTGTTTCTTCAAAGTGAAAGCATCTAACTGCTGAAGACAACTCTCCTGCCACAGACATCTTTCTCTGCTCACGCAAAACGCAGTGTCACAAGTAATGCATGCTCATATTCAGTGTTACTGCCTTGATTACCTGCTGCTGTTTTCACACTACGCAGCTTTTTCGGAGTCACGGACCACACTCTGACAGTAGAGTCAGCAAAACCTCCTACAATCATGCTAGAGTCATCTGTAATATCCACTGCAGTCAGACCCTATACACAAAATACAAATTTATATTGTAACTTCCATGACGCATTTCAAGTATTACAAAGTTCTGAGTACTAGTAAGAAAATTAACTTGACATTTACAAAAATAAGAGGGAATCATTCTAGGACAGGCATAAACACACATAAATTCTTGCACCATTAAAAATAAAGCTATATGAACGAAGCACAGTCAATAGTGACAAAACAGTACTTTTTTCCAGTATTTCAGTGCAAAACATCTACTGTATTCCATAGAATAGAATTCTCCCCATAGGAAAAGCGGAAGAAGGAATTACAGCAAAATCAAAGCAAACCCAAGGAACACGGACATTAAGCAGTTTAAGGAGTCTTTAAAGAGAATTTTGAAGATTTTTGGAACATAAAATTCACAACCCTTATTCCAAATACTCCAATAATATTCCAATATACTCCAACACTCCTTGCCAGCTCTATTAAGTCTTCTTCCTTTATTAAGAGTTTGTTAACAATTTTGATTCTCTTTTCCATATTACTCAAACTCTTCTTTTACCAACCTGGTAAGCATTAAGGAACGTGTAGAAACAGATGGAAGGCAGGCACTCTGGGCCAAGACGCACACGCCTTGCAGCTTCCTTCATATTCATTACTTTATCCAGCTTGTCAGAGTCTTTCAGTTCAGGCAGAGGAATTCTGCAAGAAGTACACATTTTTATCAACTAAAAGCACCTTCCAATATTGTTAATCTAAACAAAGAAAGCAAAACCTTTGCATGCAACCCTATACTTCAAATACAAAACAAGAACCAGAAGAATGAAAGACTATATAAAAGACTAACTGATGAGAAAAAGAGCCAGTAGCTTGAAGAATTTCAGTTATGCGGTGGAAGGAGATAGATAATTGAGGATGACCTGAAAAGATCAGTGGGTAACTGAGTAAAATTTTATCAAAGGAAACCTAGACTGACTTGAGGGGCAAAGACAGGGAGGGTTATACGCTAAGCTTTCCATTTCCTCCCTTAGAAGTCTTACGGCTAAAGCTGTGCTCAGCTGAAGTGGCCAAAATGCTAAAAATGGCACGTGAACAGCGATGCAGATTTGGCATGACAAGACTAGATTTAACAAGACCTCTCTACACATGGTTCCCTTGGTACCTGTTTTGGGGAGGAGCATTAGGGTCTTGTTTTTTACTTTTTGAGCCTACACTATCTTTTTTAGGTTTTTTCTTCTTTGGCTTTCCTTCCTCATTTTCTCCTTCTTCATCTTCATCATCCAAAGGCACATCAAACTCTGGTTCTTTCAATAAGCCAAAGAAAACCTGCAAACCAATAAAACACACATGAGACAAAACAGTAATTGCTGTTTTTACTGAAAACTAGTTTTTTTAATGGAAACTTTTCAACGTCATAGTCCAAGCAATAAAGCTGCCCCTTTGAAACTGCTATGTCTAATGTTACCGCCTACATTACTGGTTAGCCTATAAGAAATATAGTGCATGTTCTGCTGGTTTACCCAGCAGCTGATCTGGACAATTTTAAGTTCTCCCACCATTTCTTGGCTCTTCATTAAAGCAGAATCCCTACAGGTTACATAAATTTTCTGTATGGTATTTTGGTACTACACTGTCAAGATTTACACCAACAGCCCTTGCAGTAACAATGGGGAGTAAGTAAGGATTACGTCTGTTGGACAAGAGAGGAAGCCAAATAGTCAGGCGTCAATTTGACAACCACAGAGTAATTCCAGAGCTCGTTAAAGCTTACTTGAGCAGGCTGAATACAAAGTGGTCTCTCAAAGGCGTCCAACAGTTTCTCCCACTAAACAATGACATATCTTGACCTCCCTGCTACAGCAAACAAGTATTTGAGCAGTTCTCTTCCTCTGTTCTGTTCATGTTGTCTTTTAAGATCTCACGTGACAATCGTCAGTCTATACTAAGGTATCTCCTTGAAAAACTAGGGAGAATTGTTCAACTACAAAAGTGCAACAATCTTTGCCTCCTACCTTTGCTTTATTAGCCTCTCGCTTTGCCTCCCCAGCCAAGCTTCCAACCATAGCATCTATCTGTTGTTTACTGCGAGGCATTCCATCAAAGATATCAATGTAAAGATGCTCCTGAACAATGTTCCAGATCTGATTGTTCTGCTTTTCCTGAAGATGCCTCTTCAAGAGCTGGTAAGAGTCACGGGAAATACGCAGCACAAACTTGCTTGTCCGGAAATCCAGCATGGTCTCGTTACCTTTCATATGTTCTTTTTTGGTTAAGCTAGATAATACACGCAGGTCATCCTGGTAATAGCACTCCTGATCCCCACGAAATCTATTGAAACAATTTAAGATATGATAAAAGATTTATTACAAAAACATTATCTCCTAAGTGCACACTTATTTACGTTACTTTAACACAAAACATATATGTAAAGACCTTTTGGAAGCTACTGACTACACATTGGATTATTTTTCTGCTGAAACGTATTTCATCCTGGGGAAGATACACTGGTGACTTACAGCACACAGTAAGAGTATTCAACAGTTAAAAACTGAGATGAACACAACAAACAAATGGAACCTCACAGAACTTCGTACACCCAAAGGGTTCTCGCCTGAAGTAAACAGTTCACTAACTTGTTTATTTACAGAAATGAAACTCTCATTTGTGGTATAATAAAGTACAGGGCATTTTTTGTTATGCAAGACTACCTGGATGCATTTATATCTGATTCATTGTATGAATATGCACATTTCACAGTGAACATGTTTCTCACTCTCCACTTGCATTATACAATAGCTAACACATGTCTAGAGTTTTCCATTTTTACTCAAACCATGTTGTAAAATAGCTGTGGCAGCAAACATTTTAGCTATTTGCAGAACCATTTTTGCTGACCATACTGGAGGGAGACAAAGTTATCCTTTTGGATTGAAATATTCCATAGTTGGTCTTAATCCAGAAAACAAATTAAATTTAATTTTCTCAAGTGATAAAGAAGTGAAACATACTAAACGCACAGAAAATTGTAGATTAGCCATAAATTAATTCTTTTAATCTTATTTGAAGAATTTTGATATATATGCTATGACATTAGCAAATACTAACAGTGTACGTTACTTTGGCATCTCCATGCAATGTTCCAGTGCTAGAAAACAACTCCACAACCTTTGCCTGAACAAGCAGCACCTCTTCATTGATACTTTGCAGCACAGAACCAACCAGCTCACAATAAAGATGGTTCAAAATCTGCTCACAGACAGTTCAAAAACACGTAGTTTGCACATCTTTCTAACACAGGAGATTAGAAAATGATTTAAGAACAGTTACTGTAATCCATGACACCATTACTTCAGATTCCAAATCTCTTCAACATTAGAGACAAACATAATACATATATATATACGAGCCTATGCTACTATAGCTTACAGATTTAATCAAAGTAGCAAACACAAAATAATGCAAATGCACAAATGAAAATAAATTACCTTTCAAAAAAAGACTTTGCTTCACTCTCATGTTGGTTGTAGACCAATTCCAAGTACATGTGCACAAAGAGAGGATAAAACAGTTGAGACAGTTCTGCTCGATGACAGTCCAGGGAACTCTCTATGAAGTGTTTTAATCCACTGTAATATTCCTCATACAGTGTCGGGTCCCCCTGTTGATTGTAGGCAGACAATACTGCACTCACATCTGGCTGATCTTCCACAACGATGCCTCCTCCAACTGCAAAAGCATTAGCATATAACACGAGCTTGTAAGACAGCCTCCAAGAATTAGTAAATATACAGTGGCTAACAACTCTGCTGGTAAGGTGAGGCGCTCTGAGCAAAACATGATGCTAAGTCTTGTGCTTGTTCAGCACTAAGTTTAAACGATACAAGTGAGAGGATGGCAGTACATTATAGTCCAGCAGCCAATTCTCCTGGCATCTTCAGCCGTTTCTTGCGCCTTCTCTGTCAACAGTTGCCTATAAAGTACTTAACATAGCGTCCAATTCAGCTAGGATTGTAAGCGTAAAGGCATAAGCCACTAACATCACCAAAACAAGTTATCTTTACTGCTAAGTTTATAAACTCTCAGTTGAGGAGCAGAATCTTTCTAAGCCTGTTAAGATATACCCACTATAATTATTTGTGTCCAGTAGACAGGCAAATTAAGTTCATCAAGTGAACAATTCACCAAGACCACTACACACCATTACTTTTTGTCACTTGCTAACACTCTAAGAGCTCTGTTCTACATAGCAGTCATTAAACACTTTTGTGTTTTGTCTTCTGTAAAAAAACAATCATTATCAGGCGATACCAGAAAAAAAGCTGACTCTATACTATACATTTACTGGAACTCAAGCCATATCAGTTCCTGAAATTTTATGATACTATTCTGTGAAGCTGCTGCACAGAACACATTGATTAAAAATACTTCAGACTCCAAAGGACATCTCAAGTACCCAGCAACTTGGCCCAGGAACGTATAAAGCTTCCTCTACAAGTATTCTATGGCTCTTTCCTCAAAATGCAGCCTGTACATCAGACCTTCATTCTCATCCCTGCGGCCACATCTTGGACCACGACCTCTAACTACAAAGGAAACCTTCAGCCTCCTGCTACGCTGTTAGTCGAGATGAGACACAAACACAAAGGGAAGTACCTCTCCCTTTGACAGTACTCCCTGCAAATACGACAGATATTTATCCTTGGTCCCTTGCTCCAGAGAGGCCAACCCCAGGAAGTCCCGATCTCTTCCCGAGTTGTATGGGGGGGATGATACACCCCGTGGTCCCCCCAGAAGGCCGAGGCAGACTCTCACCTCCCGCCCCAGGAGAGCTACCCCAAGGGAGGCACAACCTGACACGGACCCTTGTGCCCCAGCATCACGGAGAGCCCCCGAGGCTGCGGGAGGCACAAGGACCTCCCCGTCTCCAGGCGTCCCGCCGGGAGGGGGTGGCCCCCCGCTCCGCACAGCTACCGCGCAGCCCCCGCGCGGGCCCCACCTTTCCCTGGCGGCACGGCTG